AGTCTCACTTCAGTACACTGTTGATGTATATCAAAATCCAGACATTATGTAACTATCATGCTATCCTGCAATTATAATTTTGATACTTTCTTGAGCTGTACATGGTTTTATGGCGTGCTATAGTTCACCTGTGCAAACAGAGGCATCACATCATTACACACAGCTACCCCCACCCCACCCTGAACAGAGTTGCTTGATATTATCACCTACTTTTAGTTTCATCTGTCTTAGAAACAGATGACTTGGCTCAAGTTATAATTCTTTCTATCCCTTTACACCTCAATACTGAGCTGTTGCATAACTTTATCCAATCTAGCACTGAGGTAAAAAAATAAAACGTACATTGACCTTTTAAGTCCAGATTCTGCAGTAAACAGCAGTGACATCCTGTGATTAAAAAAATCCCCTGTTCTTTGTAACTTTGGAAGCTGCTGTTTGCCACCAAGTGAAAGCAACAATTGTCTGGTTCTGTGGGGCTCTGAAAATACATTTAAGACATGTACCACTGTCAGGAGTGATGTTTAGTTGTTAATTACTTTGTGATAACTTTGACAATGCACCTCAAATTTTAATTCCTCCTTTCTCTCTGGTTGTCTTAGCCAACTCAAACAGCTGTCTCACTGCATGGGTACACAATCCATGGCAGAACAGAACCTCAACAAGGACATAGCCCAAATTATAAATTGTGAGAATTTTCTTATGTGTAATCTTTTCTTCTAGATTCAGTACAGTTTTCTTTCATTTCTTCCAGTACAGCTTAAAATACCCTCTCTACATGAAGCCCCAGTGCTGATAATTCATGAGGCACTCAGAGATGTTTAGAGCACTTGGTTCTCTGTGTCTTCATCTGAGTTTATGTGGGTGGCCATCTGTACATGTACTGAGGTCAGCCCAGGTGCAGTTCTCTGACAGCAACCGTACGGCTGTGGCCTCACATGGAAAGCTGTCACCAAAATGATGTTGCTTCTCTTATTTTTCTAACAAAGCCCTGTTTGCACATTGTTTATTATAAAACAGCATCGTTAGTATTATTATCTCACTGATTCTGAGCTGACATAAGTATGATCTCTCGGGCAAAATTGCTGTGATGGGACATGACACGGAAATTGACCAGAGTACATGTACTCACAGGCCCACACAGGAATTTGTCAAAGCCTGCCTTCACTGGAAAATAGTAATGGGTAAACAGTCAAACTTTTCAGCAAGACATTTGTGTCTACAGAAGTTTTATCAATAAAAGTTTTTCAGTACCAGGTGAAAATTTCTAATTCAAAGCAAGGCCAGCTCCAAAACAGCACCCCTTTGTGTTCATGCAGTCATAGTGGACAGTTTAAGTCCTTCTCCCACACATTACTATGACTACTGCATCAAAAGTAAGTCCTTCAGCCTCTAAGGCTTAAAGTTATTTCGTGTCCAGTGAATACTTTATTATGAAAAGCCAGTAAAGCAGCTTTGATGAGAAAGGATAGCAACCAAAGAAGAGGAGTGAATTGATACTTCTGAGAAAGCCGAGCTCGAACTCCTGGTTTAAATCAGGCAATATAAGGTTTTCTGCACCCCAGGCACGTGCCCCTAACACAGGTATAACAACTGCCATGTGTGGAGCTCTTCTTTCCTCAAAGGACAGCACAAAACCTTACTTTTGCTGTAATACAGACCAAGAGTCCCAAAGGTTAGATCTCAGAAAGCTTTGTTGGATGGAAAAAACATTTCCATTTGGTTGTTGTTCTTTTTAACTCAGCACCTGAATCACAGCAGCAAATCAAGTAACTCTGGCAAGCTGCTGTTTATCAGGACAAAGTAATAAGCAGGAAGAATTTGTGTTGTGGGGGTGGCATCTTCCTGACATGACTGATTCTTGAAATGACAGTTAAAAGAAAAAAGAATACAAGAATACAGTTCAGTTTAACTGCCTCTCCAAAGCAGGTAGGTTTTGTCATTCGAGTTTAATGTTCCAAGAAACCCAGCAGCAATGAAAAACTTTGTTGAGCTGAAAACAAGTTTGTTCGGGGTTCATTCTAGAACACCTGGTCTCTTCATCAGCACTCTTCTATGAGGAGTTCTGGCCACAAAGAAATGAGCTGCGTTAATTAAAGCCAAACAGAACATCAAAGTCTCTGTGCCAGCTCTACAGGGGAAGGCTGAAGCTCAGGGCCACTATGAACAGCTTCGTATTGATGTGGTTTTTAATCTTTTGGTCTTCCCATGACACAAAGACTGTGAAGTAGAGAAGTCAATGTCTGACCCTTCAGTTCTACGTAGTGTATTTTGCAAAATGTTTGGAGAACAACCTGTGCTACCACATTGGGCAGCTCCATCCTTAGCTCCTGTTCCCAGCGAGACTCATCCAGGCCAGTGGCTGCACTAGTGCTGGTTAGTGACAGCTGGAGATCCTCCTTCTAGCAACAGTTCTGGTATTATCTGTACAGTCACGTTCACAATATTATTTTTAAATGCATAGGATAAATATTTCTAACTCTCACTTTTAAAGAGAGGATGAAAAAATACTTCGCATCTATAACTGCATGGGTATCATAAAAAAAAAGACTAAACAACAATCAAACAAAATCATTCCTCCATTAATTACTTTAAAATAAACTAAAAAATGTGTTTTTGAAAAAATAATTGCAGTTTTGGATATTTCCAGCCTTTGTCAGGGCTTCTCAAAGTTCTAGTTAGCAAAGTTCTGTTTAATCAAAACATTTGCCAGTGTAATTTGCTGAAAATGCTGCCTTTCCATTTTGAGGCTGCTCTGGGCATTCAAGTAAAGCCTGAACAGTGCTCTATGGAGCACGGCCAGCTGCTCACTGTGTCGTAAAATGGCATATGTCATTTAAAGACATACACAAATTTACACTGTTTGAGAATCTGGCCCTGATCATGGATTTGTGAGAACATTTCCATAACTGTAGGGTAACACAGAAAAATCAGAATACAGCAGCTGACAAGAAAGCACGTGTTACTGATATGCTGCTAATTTTTGAGAGGAACTAACAATTACAGAATACATACTTGCGTTCACACTATGTATTTTTAGTGTGGCTTTTTATCTTCAGAGAAAAGTAAACTCTGAGATTTTTCATTTGGTCACAATGCCTTTGAATGTCTTCTGTCTCAGGAAGACCAGTCCTGTGTGCATTCAGAACTGCTGAAGCACATACCATACTGTAGTCTAAATATGGTAGGCACAAGGATAAATCTTGTACCCATTAAATGACATGAATGTACCTGAGGTACTGCACATACACAGTGTGGAGTTATTCAGAGCATCTGTATCAGCTACATTAAGCATCTAACTTCAACAAGATCGGAATAAAACCATTTGGCATCCCGCTTTCCTACTATCTACACTGATAATTTAGGAGTCCATGTTTGATCAGTTTAATTAAATCTAAGAGAGACTGTTAAGGCAGACTAACGTAAGTGAAATGCCCCTCATTACCAGAAATTACTTAGCTCTGTGTATCACCTGGCACAATTAGTTGCAGGACATCACTGGTAAAAATTACTTGAGCTAAAAATATACATGTGAGGATTGAATATATTCTCTGCTTCCTGAGATCAATACAGACAGCAGTGCATAAAGAAAAACGAAGAAACCCATAAGAAAAAACTCAAATGTTAACACAATAATAAATTTTTATTTCTGTCCTTGTTTCTCTCATGCATTGAGATCAAGAACAGCTTTCCTCTGGAACCAAAACTTTGATTTTAAAATGTGATCAGAATTTCTTATGCAATCATAGTTTTCCTAGTATCTGGTGCTATAAGAAAAAAAAAAAGAAAGCCTTTTCCAGCTACTATAAAACTTGTAAGAGAAATGTGTCAATTGACATCACCTATTCCAAGTGAAGTGACTAATTTTAACTTTTTAGAATTACCAAAGGGTGCTAAAAAGTTTTGGATGAAAACCTGAATCCAAAAGTTTGAAATATAGGTGATTTAGAGGAGAATTAAGGACATTCAGAACCTCCACAAAACTGATCTATCCCTCAAGGTGACAGTGGATTTCTGGGTCTAATTTAAAGAAACTACATTTTTACATGAGATTTTCAAGGGCACATTTTGAGTGCTTCAGAAACAGTGTATACTGTTGTACCAACTTGTCTTACGTTGTGAAAGGAAGCTGTTGAAGCAGAACTCTTTGCAGTAGTGGAATCACAGTAATTTCTTTTTTTTCACAGGACTTTCTGTCCTTCCAGATATTTCAAATGTATTTAAACAAGATCTCATAACAAACACAAGACCACCTCAAATTTTACAAAAAACTAATGACTAGCTTTTAATATTCATGCCTGGATTACAACCATCAGAAAGTTCAGAGGCTTATTTCTTCTCAAAAGTAGTGAGGCAGAGGGTCAGGTGCTACTAACTGCCACACTACTGAAATCATGCAAACCTACCAGAAAACACTAAGTCCAGGAGATGCTTTTAGAGTCTGGATTCACACCTGGGTATAAAATTGATGCAGCTACATGTGGGAACAGTAGATTCTGTAATTTTCCATAGTGTTCAACTTTCTAAGTAAACTTTAAAATATAGCAGCTTATAGGGTCACGCTATAATTAGTCCTTGTGAAAGGCAAAAAAAAATCGTTTCAGTGACCCTCAGGCTCTGCCCAGGAAGTTACTGTCAAGAACAAGACACAGGACAACAACATCTCATTTATAGGAACTCAGGACTTAAATGTCCATTGAGAAAAATACTTAAACTCCCTGACACAAGTTGTAGCTCTATCTAAGTAGTTTTGGAAAAAACCAAATAAATCCAATACAGAAAGGATTCATTCTACATTTTATCACTGAGGGAGTGAGAACACAATTTTAATTTCTGTTCTGTATAGAAGAGACACAAGCATAGGCTAAAGCTTTAAGAGGTCATCTGATGCACAAATCTTGTGTTATTTCTGAGCAGAAGTGGGGATTCCACCTGAAGTGAATCAGGTACTAAATGCACAAAAAAATCAAATACCCGAGAAAGCAAGAACAGAGAGGACTCACTGTCTTTGAGGCTGCTCTTTCGGAACCTCTCCAGGTCCACGCTGGGGGGTCTGCTGGGCTTCTGTGGGGGCTGGCCCAGCTTGAACAGTGGGGGCAAGGCTTTCCTCTTGGGGGTTCCTGAGCTCCTGTCCCCATCCACTTTCTCTTGTGATCCACCCAATGGCCTTCCTGCAGCTAGCGCTGTGTTCATCTTGTGGAGCTTGGGAAAAGAAGACATTGATTCTTCCTGGGTGATTTTGTTGAGAAAGATGTTTTTGGCCACGCTTATTCCTTTTTCTTCAGTCTTTTCCTCCACATTTTTGGGAGTGCCTTGAGATGAGCTGGACCAGTGGCCAGTAGGCTTCAGAGGCGTGCTAGAAAAATGACTGCCTGCAGCTTCTGCAGCACAGTTACTATTTTCATCCATTTCCTTTGCTGTTTTAAATGAGTGTATATTTGGTCTAAGGCCTGACAGTCCTTTTTGCAGAAAAACATTTTTATTAGGAGTGTCTTCGCTGTGGGAGACATCATGGTTTACAGAAGGTTTCTGTGCAAGAGGAGGTTTAAAGAAAGGAGACTTGGGCTCATTTTCTTGTATTGCAGACATGAACTTTTCCTTAACTCCAGTTATCTTTGAAAATGCTGGTTTTGCCTCACTCTCCTGTGGTGAAAAAGTTGAGTTTGGTTTTGTTCCCAGAGGACTTTTTTCTTTTCCATGTGGAGCAGAGTTAAGGAACTTATTTCCTGCAGGTTTTGGATACAGAGGCTTTGGTTCTTCTTTTGCCAAGTCAATGGTTTTGGTGGGGGTTTTAGTGCATCCAGCTTTTCCATCATTTTCTCTGTTAGTTGACTGAAGCTGAACCCCAAACCTTTGTGCCACTGGTTTCAAATATGGAAGCTTTGGATTCTTCTCTGTTTTATCATCAATTGAAGGCTTGACCCCCAGAGGAGGCTTAGGATGAACAGGTTTGTGAAGGGTACTGGGTCCTGGAGAAGCTGCATTTCCTTGACTTGTGAATTTCTCAAGTGCTGCTTTCCTTGTCTGTAATCCCGTATGGATAGGTTGTCCTGGGCTTTTGAAGGGTCGACTGCTACCAGAAACATCCTCTGTGGGGCTGTTACCTGCGTTAAACTTCGCCATGAGTGACTTCACATCTGTCTTTCCATCCTATAAACATAAAGAAGAGAAAAAGAAAGAGCACCAATGAGAAAGTCTCCGTTGCAGTGTTCACACATACTGTACTTTAAAGAGTTTCCTGGTCTGAGGCTTGTAGTACTGCTGATTGGCTGTGGAGATATTGCAGCACATCTTCCTGTAGGGTTAGAGAAGCTGAGCATTTTGTTATGCCCTTGCTGTGTTTATATAATAGTTTAAAATTTTCAGTGCAGGTACTGCCTTTAGAGAGTGGTCATGCAGATTCTTTTGGGTATACTATAATTTCTGCTTATTTCTGGAATTGGGAACTGAAGACCTAATAAATATAAGAAAATACATTCTACTTTAAAATCAATGTATCCCTAAAAAATTAGTGTCCTGTGGTGAGAAGCATAGACTGTACTAGAACCTGAATTATGCACCAGACTAGAGTTATTCCTGCCAGCTCTTTGGAGAACTGCAAGGTCCTTTGTGAAAACAGAAATTCTTCTGGTTTGAGGGGTATGTGTTAGTTTTTCTTTCCCTTCTCAGCAATTTTCTTCCCTGCTGCTACCCCCACCCTGCTTTGTCCTTGTTTCTCTTCTTCATTTTGTATCAGAAAAAAACTCTGTATGTGGGTGGAAAATGAAAATATGTGGAATACAATAGGAAGAAATTACAATTACTACACCCAGATACTGTCAAATATACTTAACATCTTGTGGAGAAAAATAAAAAAGTTGAACAATTCCGAGTGGACAAAACCCAGCTTAATTTGGAAAAGTTTTAATCACTCAGCCCTCTTCAGTACCTTTCAGGACCAGTCTTCAATACGGACTGAGAGCAAAAGCTCGATACAGTTGAATGTGGTACACTTACAACGCAGTGAAGGATGGGGGCAAAGGGGAGTGAGCTGGTCCCACTGCACTGGACTGGGGCTACCCTTGGGTTACAGGAGCCCTCTGCAGCGAAGAGTCCTTTCCCAGCCAGCAGAGGCAGCAGGAGTGCAGCTACAGCAGATATGCTGGTGGATCTGATCCACAACTTGTTTAGTGGGGTCTGTTTCGTGTGAGGAAGGTAAAATTTAAGATAATTGGTATAAAGCGGGGATGTTATAACTAGGAAGGGCTCTGAATAATTTGTTTGGAAACAAAGGAGTATCACCACAGAGCACAACAAAAGGAGTTTGAAAAAAATTTTAGAAAGGGCGTCAAGAATGAAATGTGTCTTCACTCAGTACAGTTCAGTGGATGCTCAGTAATTTTTTTTAGTTCATTAACAAAAGCTTCCAAACTGGTGTCTTCCTCCCTTTGCCTTCTATCTGATTGCATCACATTACAAGAGTTGCCCATTATGTTGGAATAGTTTTACCTGTGATTTATGCAACTTAAAGTTAACTTTCCCAGTCTTTCAATATCACCAAGAAATTCAGTCTTTCCAAACTGTTTGTTTTGTACTACAGTTACTTAAAATAAATGCAGCCAAAACAAGATAGATACTTATGAAACTTATCCTCAGACCACCATATTGTTATCTCTTTTGCACATATAGGAAAGGGAGGAAGTACACATTTACTATGGAGATTATCAGTTAAGCTATCTACTGCTGGTTCACAGATTTGCATTCACAAACATGCACAAGTACACTGCAGAGATATGTTTATGTGTCACTAATCATTCAAGATTTCTCTCACAATACTTTGCAAAGCACTGATTTTACCCACTTAAACAGAAACTTAAGGTGATTGCAATGCCAGAGAGAATAGCAAGGCCTTTAGTCTCTGATCTCTTTTGACTTGGTACAAATTCATGTTTGTTTTTCTTTAACTTCTATAACAAAAAGCTTTATATAACAAAAACTTTACCTCAGTGACTCAGGTCTTTAGAACTTAAAAATGACAATCTGATCAGTTGTTTGGTCAATTAATCAGCTTATTACTTTTGCAAGTTATAGCAATAAATTGATTCTTCCGCTACCTCTTCCATTTGAAATTTAAGAGAATGTATTGTGTCAAGATACAGTAATGTGAATGTTCTGGACAAGAAACATTCAGCATGTAGACGTTCTGGAAGATGGAAATGTGGGTCTAAAGAAACCTTTCTTATGTTATATGGTTTGTGAGAGGTTTTCTACATCTTTGCCATAGCTGCAAATTTGCTTTCAAATGCACAGAATCATTCACTGCTGCTATGTTAGGATTGTCAGTGGATTTCATTTAATAAATTTCTTCCCAGTACTGTGAACAAACCTTGCCCTCGTCATGCATCTCTTCAAGCTCCTGAGTATGTGGAAGGGTTTACAGTTAGCAATGTAGCCTCTCTCACTTACAGTAAGTGGCAAAGGTAACACTCCAAGAATCAGAAGAGATAATCCGTGTAATCTCTCTGCTTCTCTTTATAGTACATCAACAGTTCCTGCTTTCATAAGCAACGTTACACTAGAAGCCATACTGTGGATTCTAATGCACAACCTGACTGGGCAGGTAGAAAGATGGGGAACTGGGAAAAAGAGAGAATATTTTCTATCTTTTTTCTGTGGCCCTGCTCATAGAGTAAACCCCACAGTTTCTGTGTTTCCCTTCCCAGAAGCTATAGCAGTTATCTATTCCACTGCCACATATAATAGGCTCTAAATGATGAAATGGGAACTTGAAAAGATTCTGAAATGAGATTACGTTCACCCTACCCTCCCACCCTAAAGTACAAAGTGCCTTTGGAACAGAGGAGTCTCATGCAAGAAGTACTTGGGTTATTTCCTGAACTTTCTCTCTGTTAGGAAATTCTGTGCAAAATGTTGGACTTTTCAGCTGCTGATCTGAACTGGAAGCAGCACATAAGGTGCACACTAACATTTGCTTTGATATGAGGTGGCTGCATTATTGAAATGTGTTTGCTCAAATCTAGAACAATACCCAGGTTTTAGTTCCCATGCCATAGATTGATCAAGGAGATTTGTACACATAGTGCTTTCCCAGCCTTGTACTGCCTTCAACAAAGACTCACACAGATATCAAGATACGCTTGTACAGAATTCTTCCACAATACATCTTAATGGCACTTCAGTGTAAACAAGTGCAATTCTCCTTTATTTACAATATAACTGCACAATTCTGTACAGAAGTACAGTATAATGAGAACACAAGAAATATAAAGGCTCCAGCTGTATTATTCCAGAATTTACTGTGAATATTCCAGTTTCAACTAGCAGCCTGATCAAAAAACATTTGTCTTGTTTTGGTTTAAATATGCCTTCATTATTTACTTTCCAGTCTTGGTGAAGCCAAAAGACCATTTCACTTCCACTCTGCTCTCCTAAGACCCTATCTGGAGTACAGCTCTAGGGCCTCCAATGTAAGAAGGACATGGCAATTTGGAACCAGATGATCTTTAAGATCCCTTCCAACTCAAACCATCCTGTGATTCTCTCAGTCTCCTCATGGTTGCTCTTTCTTCAAAAAGCAACACTGGATCAGTGAAAGAAATAGCAGATGTGTGAGTATATGATCCTTAATTAAGCAAATGAAATATATGTAACTGATGCCTGTACAAGGAATTGTGTATTTTTTCAAAATATATGCAGATCTGATTTATAAAGGCAGAAACCCCATCTTTTAACCTCTCCTCTGTAACTTTTTCTTTTCTATTCCCAAGTGATAGGGTCTAAATAGGTCTTTTAAAAACTCATAATCTTTAACAGAATCAGGTGTTGATAAGTTTACTAGAAAGTAATGAAATAAAGATTATAAAACTGTTCCTTTAAGAAGTGTGTATACTTATGAATACTGTGACAGTGAAATAGTAACAGAAGGTGGTAGTGACTAAGGGAGTTGAACTATAACCCATGGACAAGATATAAGGAATAAGGAACTAAACAAAAAAGGCAAGGAAAATGGCATATGAAAGTTAGAAAGATACGGATCTGTAAATTATTTGGCAACATAAGGGCTTGATATAACTTCTACTGAAGTGAATGCATTTGAGAGAGTTCAGCTGCTTGCACAAGATAATAGTGCCACTCTGAATTAGTGATAAATTATTGCTATTTCATTTTCCAGACAGAGAGATTTCAGAATTATCTTTATGCAACTTTGTTGTTTCCAGAAGAGAGAAATAATTTCCAAGTTACCTTTCTTCCTCTTGGGTAGGTTATAATTACTAGCTAAAGACAACTCCCTCTAATAGTGAGTGCAGCTTTTGGAAAGTGGAGTTAAGATGTTGCAAGACTCTGTACCTATGAATGTAGGTAGTGGAAGTATGGAAAGAAGGCAGAAAGACAACACCTGCCCAAACAAAAAGACTTGCTAATACAGTGATTGGTATATAAGAGAAACAAGCACTCATCAGACACTAAATAATGAAGAGATAGGCTATTCTGCTGTCTGAGGTATTTTTGAAAGGCAGACTTCTAGGATGGAGAGGATAGACAGAAGCCTTAGGGATTCTCCAGTGAGAGGCTGACAGCCTCTATGTTATCCTAAGAGCATAGTTTCAAACATCCCTCTAACACCAGCAAGACAAGAACACTCATGAGAACATTTGGTTGTCAAAAGTAGACAAGACAGTGTTCCAGCCTGATCACGCTGTATTCTGTATTTTTTCCATTGTGCATTCCTCTACACTTTTTTTGTCCCTTTCTTGTCACTTTTTCTTATCTTTACCCAATCATAAGACCAACTACATCATATTGCAGGAACATGAGAGGACAATATAGTTCATCCGATCCAGGTGAGCTTGAGACCAGGACTACTGGAGGCACAGGGCTTGACCAGAACAGCCAGAATACATCCCAGCTTGGTCCCAGTCTACTGCTATCACAGCCTATGCGTGAGGCCAAAACATCTATCTGTGCATGGTATCTCTTCATCCTATGCCCTGATAAGTTCAAGACAAAGCTTCGTTTTTATTTTTCTTGCTTCTTTTTGGTACCTGTCTATGTCAAAATTAGAAAAACTATCAATTATTGGCAACTCAGTCTTCAACAGCAGAAGCCTGACAGCTTCAATTTACCACCAAGAACTTCTATTCAATAAAAAC